CAGCAGGATAATTGCCTTTACGAAACAGATTGGAGGAAAAAAACCTCCATAGATACCAAACTGCCTTCACAGTTTCCTACTTTTGCACATGGTATTTGAATCCTCAAGACTTCTGTATGTCCCTAGTTCTCTTTTCAGAAAAAACGAACAAACAAAAGTATTATGGCAAAACATACTCACCTAGTGTGGCTTGGGGCAGTCAACTTGTCTCTTGCACAAAGGGTTCTTCACTGACCGATTCAGAGCATCAGAAAGAATCAGTTGCTAAATTGTCTTGAGGTTGCATGTGCAAGACACTTGTCTTCCTTACCAGTCTGTGGTTTCGAGTCTCTTATTTCAGGTTCAGTTCGGTGGTCGCTTTCAACTTGCAAGAGGAAGTTCAGAGCTAGACTGAGGTACTGACAAATCAGCACGCAGCTGGGACTCTTACGGAGAGGCGAGAAGAACTACAGGTGCGTATGCCCGAGAGCAGATGATGGGCATGCAGCTCCACAAGAAGACACTTCACAGGCGCCAGACGTGGCTCAGTCCCAGCTCTTCCGTCATGGCAGACTGATCCGATCGGTCATGCTGGGAGAAGTCAAGAAGAGAGAGGTGCCTGGCGAGCAGGCCTTTCGCGCCTGTGCTCCCTCCCGGTTTATTTCGGGGATCAGAGCTGGGTAAAGAACCACCACTCCTGCGGAGCGGATCTTGTCGTGATGAGGTAGCAGCAGCATGTGACACTGAGCAACTTTGCTGAGCCTTACTGCTGGCGCTACCAGGGGCACAGGGCCCCTTTATGGGCAAAAGGGCCGCTGTCAGCACACTTTTCACAGCGTAGTCAGCTTCTCCCTTTCAAAACACATACCAGATACACAGCATGGACTGCTTTCAGCTCGCCCCACCACCCACCGTCACTTTGAAAGTGTATTTTCACCCTTCCTCTTCCTCTTCAGTACCACAGCAATCACTGTTCTCTACCCCAGTACCAGTGATTTTAATGCTACATGGAGCAACTTCCATACAGCTAGCAAAGGAAGAGAAAGTTAAGTTCAACGCTATTCACAATCCAGAAAGCTATTAGCTTCAAGGTAGCAATTTAGCTTTGCATCAGAGGGAGATTTGCCCGGCGTCTAGCCCACTGTTTGCAAAGGAGTTGCAGTCAAAGGCAAACGCTTTGCAGAAGAGTAATTTATTTCCACAAAGAACTTGAGTGATGTATTAGTGCTGAAAGTGGAACAACAAAGCCACTTCCTCTAGGCTGCACATCCCCCCAACATCCTTTCTCAGGAAAGTTTTGGTTGGGAGAGACATTGTGTTATCAAGAAGCACAAGCCTTTTATGTATCACTTTATAGTAGCCAGGAGAAAAACATACTTCTTTATTTGGAGACACAGATCTGCAGCTAACCTGCTTTGCAGTCAGGAACTTCAACATACCTGTAACTGGCAGCCGCCACAGAGCTGCTAAAGGGGGTCTCGGTACGTGTTGCCTTCTGAGTTAAATCTGTTCCCTGAACACCTTTGCCCATCATTGCATGACAATTTCCATAGCTAAGCAACAACTCGGGACAGTAGTTTTGTGAGTTCACCTATATTTAGCCATATTTAGCCAAATAAAGAAACCCAGAGCCCAGAATGAAACAAAGCAATTTATTGGTAACGGCACATCAGAGTCAGCAGCAAACTTCTAACACACATGTAAAAGGAGACTATTCGACCAATGCCGCATACAGAAAGGAAGTGGAAAACAGCAGCTGTTTAGGTATCGAGCAGGCGTGAATTCCGCTGCTCTCCGCCATCCATTACTGGACAAGGTTGGTGAAAGTACTCTTTCTTACCAGGCATTCATGATGCATGTTCAGCTCTTGCCCTAAAGTGGTGCCTAGAAGAAGAGAGGAGGAACATGACTGTTCTTCTGAACACGAAACATTCCTTTGGACACTGCTGGAGTCATTAGTTGAGGTAGATGGGGTTATGTTTCCCCAGATTCAGAGTCTCCATTTGCATTTCTGATTTTAAAAAAAGTTGTTTTATATGAATTGTGCTTCACTTCTACACATAGAAGGAGATGTACCTAGTAATGCAGCTGTTGGACAAATAATAAAAAAAAAGGAAAGACAGAACTCAACAATGTAAGGTAACACTACTGTGCAGTTGGTAACTTCAAAACAGAATCGGAAAACGGTAGGCACTGAATGGTGACGCTGTAATTAAGTGGCAGATCAAACCAAGAAAAAAGTTAAAAAGCAGTAGATTCTCTTCACTCCAAGACAAAGGATGCCATATACCAACTTAATCAAACTGTTTTAAGTCCTTGGCATGTACGTTCCAAAAAAATTGAGAAGAAAACGTTGTCAATGCCCAGTGATGATCACCTTAGAGAGCTGACTTCACTCTGGAGTAGCCTGTGCTTCAGGGAATTCAGATTCAAGGGCACAGGAAAGGAGGGATGTCCCCAATAACAAAGGAAACAAATTTGCAGGTAAACTAAGAAGCACGCATTGTCAGACCGCTGGTAGGAAACAGGCTGTAAAGCTGTAGGCACTGAGGTTTCTGTAGGCACTGGACAAATGCGGTTAAGAGATTTTTTTTCCAATAAATTAGAAAGATTTCAAAAATCATTACTCTGTGCTTCAAAAAAAGTGAATTATCCCATTGGCATTATTCTTCGAATGTACCAAGATCAGAGCAGTCCTTCAATCTTGCACTGGTTGTCCAGCAGCCTTCGCACCTATCTAGCCGTGATTTTCAGAGCTGTACTTTTGTTCTTTATCCGTAGCTTTAGCCTTTCATCAGTATGGCTCCTCTTCATCCGTGTCCTAAACAGGGAGTATGGAGAGAGAAACTGAGGCTATGTATGCAGGCATGAACCAAGTTACGAGTTCAACAACATTTGGAGTCTGCTAGGCTTCTGACAAGAGCTTAAATGCTTCCCAAAATGCTGCTGTGCTTGAGTAAGACATAGGACCTGTAGTCGTATAAGCACTTGCAGCTAAAGCTGTTTGACTTCTCACAGATAATTGGTAAGATGAATTGCCACTGTAGAACCAAGACGTGAAGCATATTTTAAGAGAAGCAGCAG